AATGATGGTGCCAACTTGGGCCAGTGAAGCAACATCCTCCACAACTAGACTGAAAAACAAAAGGATAGCAACTTGTCTGTTCCCCTTCCCCCAATTCCCCAATAAAAATCTTTAAAAAAAAAAACCAAAAAACCTACAATGGTACACAGAGTATAAAGGATTAGTTTTCATGTGGCTAGAATTAAATGAATTATGGATTCCTCGGGCTCTGTCGTGATACTTGAAACTGACAACGTTTTTTAAGTTATGAGACATCCTGTAGAACACAGTCTGTGTTTATAATAATTATTACCCTCTGATTTCTTGGAAATAATTTTTGAAAACAGTGAAAAGTAATTAAAACACAAATGTACACATGTATGTAAATGTATATAGAGAAAGTCTTTTTTCTTTATAGGAGGAACAAACTATAATTCATCTGAAATGTGGAGTGTAAAAGTGCTATCAGGATGAAACTGCTACCAGCTCCTGCTAAGAAGCTGTCATCAGTTGGCATTTGGGAGCCTTCCAAACCTAACTTGCTGGGCAGTGCAAAGCAATGGGTGTTCTGTTTATACCATAATTAAGAGGTGAGAAAGTAGCAATTAGTGTAAAATCCAGATAGCTGATGTTTGTGCTGGAAGAAGTCCAGTTAGGTATCTTGTCTAGATGGCAGTTACTTTCTTAATATTTGAAAACTCAGTCTCACTAGAGGTTGTTGTTAGGACCCAAGATCAAGTGTAAAACGATAGAGCAGTTCCATCTGCTGTATTCCTTATAAAGAAGCACAGCTTATTTGATCTATTTAATATAGCCTGGCTTGAGAATATACCACTGGCTTCGGAATAACTTGAAATTGCTTGACAGGACATAAATACCATACCAGTTTATTAAAGAGACAATAAAATATAGCCATATTTATCAAAGGACAACACTGTCCTTTGCTAATAACACTATCGATGCTAAGGCATTTTACAGCTTGCTGTAAGGAAGTAACAGAAGATTTTTATTGTCAATACAGATTGAAAAAGCATCTGAATTCTCCTACCTGATCAGAAACCTCTCAAATGATGCAAGGAAGCTGAAATCTAAATAAGAGAGTGCTAATACATCTTTTTAATTTCTACCTTGTAATCAATTTGTACTCTTATAACTTATGTGTTCTTATAACTTAGAAACTCTCTCTAGTTCAGCATGGACCATGACTTGCTCACACTGATGGTTGTATCTCTAACTTGTTTGCTTTTTTCCCTCCCACCGTAAGATGCACACAATGCTTGTTGGGCTGGTTACTCTGGCCACAGGCACCAGCTGCTTCTTCTTTTCTCTTTTGCTCCAAGTAGAAACCCACAGGGACCAATTACTGCAGATGGTGTCTTTTCTCTAATAGCAACATCAGTGCCGAGATGCTGGATTCTTCCTACCAAGACTGGGACAAGTATTTATTATATTTGCTTCTAAAATGAATCCTGTAAAACTGAGGGTGCATTTGCTTTGGAAAAAATATGTCATGGTTGTCTACTGCCATGAAAACAATGAAATAAAAAGGAAACTAAATTCTAAATGGGGTGTTGCTTTTGATTAAGTAACTAATGTGACCCTGAACAATCTATCCTATATTATTTTATTATATTAAGTAACAGCATTTCCCTAACTTTGCAAATTGAAGGTCTGATTCTATTACACAGCTCACCTGTGAAGATCATTATTCTACTTGGTAATGATTCAGAAGCTATAATAGAAAAGAATTCCTAAAGTACTACAAATATTAACTAAGATCAAAGCTATTAGTTAAAAATTATAAATTTCGGGGCCAGCCGAGTGGCTAAGTTGGTTAAGAGCTCGCTCACTAGTGCAAGCTCTGAGCAACAGTGGTTCAATTCCCAGCCTGAGCTGAGCTGCCACTGAGCTGCCAACAGGTGGCAGCATGGCTCAGCTAAAAAAAAAATTATGAATTTTGATGAAAAACTTTTAGTTTCATTTTATTTTATTTCACAGTATTTATTTTAACCCATTATTAAAGTCATCCATATATTATGGGTTACTCTTAACCTCACAGGTAAACTCCATGCATAGATTTTTAATTTAAAAAATGGATAGAGAAAGAAACATACTTACTTTATATAATTTAAAGCCTTATACTTAGGAAACCTCAGACTAGCATAATGACTAAAAATGTGGGTAACAGGGTCTGAAAGCCTGTGATCAAATCTTGATTCTGCCACTTAAAACTAGTGTGACCAATTTAGTCACTTTGTGCCTCAGTTTCTTCATTTGTAAAATTAATACAGATTAAGCAAGATAATGCATAGAAAACACTTGGCACAGAGTAGATACTCAGTATATGTTAACTCACATTGTCACTCTGAAGTAGAACACAACATGCTTTAGTTACCTCTAAAGGGTTGCATGATGTAGCCTGCACTAACAGAAATGATGCTTGACCTGGCTCTATTAAACACAACAGATGCCCACACAAAACAAAAGTGAGTAAAGACCTGAATATGTTATTGTATATACCAAAAGACCTGTTGATTGGAAAAAACATGCGCTGAAGTGGTCGGAAAGAAAAAGGAGATCCTAGATTTTATTAATTCCTACAAAGTGCTTTAAAACTAGTGTAATTGCCTTGGGTTATTAGATCATGATAGACAATTCAGTACTCTTACTTAATTTTTTAATGAATGCCTTTGGTTTTTAAAAATCAAAGAGTCTATAATCATGTTTTAAATTTTTAAAAATAGTCCTCCACAGCCAGCTCAGATTTTGACTTCATAACAGATATTTGCCAAATATTCTTCTCTGATTACAATACCAGGATTCTTTCTTAACCACAAAAATTTTTCAACGTAAGTACAAGAGAGGATATTTAATGGATTATGCACTTACAATTTTGTTGTGCAAGTGCCAGGGAGATTAGCAATTAACAAGTAATGGTCAAACTTACAAAAATAAATCATTCCTGAGAAATAAGCAATATGTATATGTTTGGTTAATTTAACAAAAAGCTGTGAAGCTATCAAGATGTGGTGAATGGTCAGAGAGCTGATAAACATTTTATCTCATATCAAAACTCTACACTATTAAAAAAGAAAATTTGTGAACTCAAATGAGACATTTCACAAAATAAGAAATAACAGAGCTGGGAATCATTATGTTGATCATCTCCTCAGCATAGTTGAAGTATTACTATTACTGTCAACAACACCAATTTTTTGTAACATTTAATTTCCTGATGCTACACTAAAGAATGTCTCATGCCCAGGAGCATTTGTAGAAACAGTTCCTGAATTGTGGTCCCAAGGGGCAAATCACCCATGCAGTAACTTGAGCACTGTGTTCTTAGTACTGTGCCAGAAACCGTAGAGGATGGAGAAGCAGCTAAATTCATTCTTCAAAGAGCTTATAATTTGGCAGGGAAGGAAAATTTATGGATGGTTTAAACAGTACATGACACAAGGTAATACATAAATCACGTTAGTACATTAAGGTAGCCATCATCCATTTACAAAAATCATGGTGGAAACATGAAATGATTTTGAGCAAACCTACTAGCCTTTGGCTCATGCAACATTGGGAAGTAGGTACCAGTTACCTTTGATATTTATCCATCTCTCCCATGAGCTTTCTTTCCACTGCTGGTGGAATAGGTGATTGCCCAGTCTTGAGTGCTTTTGGGAAGCTGCCTACTCCCTGCTGTTCACATACACTGCTACAAAAAATTCTCCAACAGTGTGCTCCTGACTGAATCTCCCACCGCCTTTTTCTAGAACTTCACATCCAAATGGCATCTGGAAGGAATAATGTCTTGGGCACTGACAATCATACCTTCACTTATCCTTCAACTCCCAATAGAGTGAGTAAACAATGACTTGGGATCCCACCTGTAAAAGTCTGCCCTCTTTGTGGTTCATGACTAATAAATGCTAATAAAGTGCTATGATTCTGAGTAGAAATTCCATAAGAAATTTCTGCAAAAGGGGAAGAGTAATGGCTCTGAAGTGGTATATCCACTTTTATTCATGTCTTACCAAATAGCATCATTATCCTAGTTCCATAAAGTAGAACCAAGGAGTCACTATTGACATGTCCCTCTATCCCTACAATTCAATCTGTCAACAAATCCTGTCAATCTTGTCTCAAAAATGTCTTCTGGGAATCCATCTACGTCCCTCTCTCCTCCTCATCACCTATACAGCAACTGAACTTTTATGTTTATTTGTGAGCTTATATAAGATGCATGAAAGCATGAATCCTTTCTGATCTCCTCCCATTATTGTATCTTTGTTGTGTGACACATAGCAATCTCTCTCTTCATTGAAAAAAAAAATATATAAGGGCCAGCCGAGTGGCTCAGTTGGTTAAGAGCTCGCTCAAGAGTGTGAGCTCTGAGCAACAGCGGTTCGATTCCCAGCCCAAGCTGAGCTGCCGCTGAGCTGCCAACAAGTGGCAGGATGGCTCAGCTAAAAAAAAAAAATATATATATATATATATATATATATATATATATATATATTACACACACACACACACACACACATATATATATATACATACATATATACACATCTGTTCAACAAATAAATGCATTAGAAGTTTCACTAGATCTTAAATCTTTGTAAAATTTGGACAGAACTGAAAGGAAAATAGCAATTACAGGAAAGAAAAACGTAAGCCAAAGGATAAAAGACAGAATTAATATGGCTTGCTTATAGGCCAAAAATAAGATTGACTAGAGTTGAGTGTAGATTTTGGTAAAAAAAAAAAAAAGAAAGAAAGAAAAAGAAAACCTTCCATAGAAAATATGGGGTCAGATTATAGAGGCAAAAGAATTTATACTTGCTCTGGTAGAAAAGTGGAGAATTTTAAGCAGGATGGTGATAAATTGGAAGCAAAGCTTAAATATGTGTTAGTTGAAGCAAAAAGCCAGGATTAATTCAGATGTGAAATGATGAGGACCTGGATTTAGGAGGTAGCAGCAGGGATTACAAGGGAAAGTTCTAGAGAGGGAAAACCCATTTTAAAGAAAGAGAACATGGGCACTGGTAAGTGAATATCAAGGATGGATGTCACTCTCTTCATTTGCATATTTTAATGAAATTTTCTAGACCTCTATGTACTTGGCAAAGGAAATTCTAGACACATTTAAGTTATAGCTATTTTTAGCAATATCTGTACATCTATACATTTCTATGCCTTATAGAAAATAAAACATGAAAAAGTGCCTTAAACCAGGGTGTCTCAACCTCAGCACTTTTGACATTTTGGCTTGACTAATATTTTGTGGTGGGGGCTGTCCTGTGCATTGTGAGATGCTTAGCAACATCCCTGGCCTCTACTCACTAGGTGCCAGTAGCACCTGCCTACTCAGTTATGACAAACAGAAGTGTCTCTAGACATATGACATAGGCTAAATGTCCTCTGGGGAAGGAGGGAAAAATATTTCCCCATTGGAGAATCATTGCTCTAAAAGTATACAATCCTATAAAGCATACAATATCATCATTACAAACATTTACTATCACATAACAAAAATTTTCGATCCACTTCCGAAAGTGACACCTTTGTTAAGGAAAATACATCTTAAAATAAATACAAACGTTACTTTTAAAGGGATATTTAGAATGGAAGGAGTAAATCTTTAAATGTACTTACACTGAGCTCTAAAACAATTCCAAGACAATCAATCAGCAATGACACGAGTGTGGCTGCAGTAATGATAACCACTGTTATGATTATGTGGAAAACTGATGAAAGATTCCCAGCGAAAAACACATTGGCAATTACCTGCCACATAAACAGATTAGAGAGGAATTCTCAGATGTGTGAAGGATTTAATAGAGTAGTTCATATTACAGCACTCAGGACTGTATAAAATACTACCAATACGGCAATCAATCAAATTTTAAGCTACATGAATGCTTTGCCTTTTCCAAAGTACTTACACATAGACACACACACACACACACACACACACACACACACACACATCAATAACAAGTATTCTTTGTTGAACTGTTAGACAGGCAGCACATGGCATATTAATGTGTGAATAAATATAGTTCTCAAGTGTAAGAGGCCTTGAGAAGTTGCTTTATCCTTCTTCCTTAAGTCCAACAAGGTTACCACTAAGACAAACCACAGATGCTATTTAAATTATTTGAATGACCTCTAAGAAAAGAGCTACCACAATTTTCTTTAACAATAATGAATGTGTAATATGCTTTACTAACAGGAAATTAGTTTTATGTAATCTACAATAAATCTTATTTGATACAAGTGAAGTCTATTTTATCGTGCCTTTCCTCAACAAAAATGGAGAAAAGTTGATCACCATTTTCCACTGATACTCAGCTTAGGGAATCAATGAATAGTTACCTATTCTATGTTTCCTACACTGTGATATCATTTGCAAAGAGAAAATGTTTAGGAGATGATTCCTATGCTCAGAAATCAACAGCCTCATTGGAGGGATCCAAACAATCTAATGGAACAAATAGGGATCAATTTGTGATAGGATAAAAAAATGATCAGATAGAATTTAGAACTAGAAGGAGTTTTACTTATCTAGATCTGTCTTCCTTCTAGTAATGGGCTTTCAGGCATTCCTGAAATACACTTGTCCTAACCCGGCTTGAGGTGGGGCTGGGAACATGGATAGGATTTAGAGTAGAATTACAGACTGAAGCAACAGTGTGAAAAAGAGCAAAGAGGTAAGAATAGGAAAGATACCTATGGAGGGCAGGGAGGAGACAGTTTGAATAGAGACATGACTGTGCAAAACCACCATGAAGTACAAATAGGAAATGGTAGGAGAGGGTCAGGTGCTAGGGGACCTTGATGAAGCCAGCTCTCCAAGCTGTGATGAGTAACATTCCCCTTAGACTGGACACTACAGTAACTCTGCTAACAATTTCATGGGGATACTAATACCTTTTACTTATTTCTGATTTTACAATTGATGATGCCTTTCCAAATATTATCTTCTTTAAAATTCATTCTTATAAATGCCTCTTAGATAGGATTGTTAACAGTGGGAAATCATTTAGTGAGGCAGGCAAGTGAGGAATATTTACTAGGGGTAGATAGGTTTTTTGCTACTCTTGTATGTGGCTGCCTACTTTACCTAGGAATAGAAATGGCTTTGACATGTTTATGCCAACATTCATTCATTCATTCATTGTGTGTGTGTGTGCGCGCGCGCGCGTGTGTGTGTGTGTGTGTGTGTGTGTGTGTGTGTGTGTGCACGTAAGAGAGAGTGGAAAGGAGAAAAAGAGAAAGGAAATGAATGGGTGAGATACAAGTTTCCTCCACCTAGTATTTGCTACCCTGGCAGGGATCTTGATTTAGTTCTGTCTTTGTGTGGTGGCAGCTAGAAAGGAAACACGAGGTCCAAGGACTGAAGACACAGGCTGTGCAGGTGGGGTGACTCAGGCTGTCCACAGGCAGCTCACCAGAAACCACACGAGAATGCGCCATCTGTTATTGCTGATCTAGAGATCAGATTTGAACCTAAAGTACTGGGCAGAAGCTAAAAGAAAACCATTTCCTGCATCCAACAATAGTTAGCAAAATTTTGAAAGACTCCTAAATTTTAAAAAAGTCTTCGTAAAGGAGAGTTCAGTCTATCTCTCTCTTATATTCAAGGTGGAGAACTGGCCAATGAGTTATACATTTGTAAGTGAGGACAACTGCTAATTGTAAAGGACACACGTAGTGGTGAACATTTCCTTATTCTGTTTCCTTGTGCAGTTCCTTATCCCCATAAGGTAAGCACTGGTCTGCTTCTAGAAGCCTGCGGATTTAGTTGGTTAGTGTATTTAAAGCTCTGTAGGGGTTTCACTTCACACATTAGACCCATTCACATGGTGTACTGTGTAAACAGCCTCTAGCAATGGATCCTAAGTCTAATCCTTTTTCAGCATGATTCCTGAAAGAAGCACTGTGAAGCAGGATCATGTTTTTCTGCTAACTGGTACAGTGGATTTTTAGCTGACTTGCATGAGGGTCTCCTGACAAGCCATGTTATCCAATTTTACACAAAAAGGATTAGTTCTTTCACCTAATCTCCCTCTACAAATCCAGGTGGGCTATATAAACAACTTAACTTGAAAGTGACTTTATAAGTGAAATATACATATATAAGTAATATTATTTTATATGATACATACATATAAATAAATGTATAAACATATACATGAAACATATCTGTAAAACTAATGGTTTAACTTGAATTTTGCTTTTCCATGGAAAATAAGATAGATTTAAAAAGTAACAAAACTGATTGGATTCCGTTCTATGGTGCCTTTAATCCGTGATGATTTAGATAACATCTGAGAAAAAGACAAATTTTTAAAACATGTTTTAAACCTTAGTACTTAATTTCTTAGTAAGAATGCTTTTTACAAAAAAACATTTAGTTTAGCTCTATTAAAGGCTGGCATTCATTTTGGAATGCAGTTGTATAAATATTTATACTTATGCTAATATAAACTAAACCACCAAACATGATTTTCAAATCTAACTTTAGAAAAAACATCTTGCAAACACTGAATATAAATTTATTTTTAAACTGATTGAAAAGAAAATTTTATGTTATATTTCTTCTCGTGCACTCAGGAATGTGCAGAATTGAATTATTTACAAATCTTCCTAAATTAAATGTAGTAGAGAGATCACCTAGGTGAAGTGTCGGGAAGGAATTGTGCTTACCTCTCTAGTCACAAAGCATTCGATTGGGTACGTCAAAATGACAGTGACTCCGTAACAAAACCTTCCGAACGTTACCAGGTCATCATTTCTGCAATAATTTTCAAATAAGTCTCCTAGAGAAAGATATAAAATGCATTTATTTAATAGATACTAGATATTGATATAAATATCTAATAAATGAGACATTGGATATTTATTATGTAAGTGAAGCTACATAAATTTCATTTAATTAGTAGAATGGATAGCCAAGTCTAAATATAAGTTTTTGAATCCCAAAACTATATAATTAGTGACTGATATTAAAACTAGTACATGTTCCACTTGAGGATGAATTCATCGCTAATAGTTTTTCTTTTATTCTTATTGATTGTTTTGGTAGATTTGCCTAAATTTGTATCAACTTCTGAAAAGTACTTTTTATCTAGTGCCTTCTTCTTACACTAGAATCAACTCTGTATAGTCTTGTGCATTTGATTTTATAAACTTGCTTCTGGTCTTTGTTTCTGGTAAGTGACTTCATTATTAAAAAAAAGTCTTTTAAGATAAACAAATTTCCTTTTGAAATGCTATTCATAGATCAAGACAATCCTGAAAGGAAGAGTGGACCATTGCATCTGGGAAGCTGAATTTCCTGTGTATCAAACTACAACAAGATTTAATCACAAACTTAGGGCCACAGCAAGAAATTCCAAACATATATTATTTTTCATGATATCTAATGAACCCAAGTGTAAACGCACAGATTCAAAACTGTGAAAATAAAGAACAGCGTTATATTTTATTAGTTCCAAACTAAACGAAGGACCATATATACCTTGGACCAATTCTTAGGTAGAGACAGTATTTTCTCAGACACCTATGAAGAAATACAGGGATCTGTTAAGGGCACTAAAGTCATGTCAGCAAAAAGAAGTTTCCCAATGCTGAAACAAAGAATATTTGGGTCTGTTTATTTCCTAAATATAACGTGCTTACATTTTAAAATTTTGGTTGCATTTTTCATTAGACCGAAGAGAAAATTAGATCAAAGTCACACACGACCACACTGTTTAAAAAGAAAACAACCAATAATACTTTTGTACTTCCTTTTGTTCATGAAAAAGCTAAATGACTTGCCTCTTCCTAAAACTTAAATGGCTCTTGTCTCTTCCCACCATCAACTAGAACAAATGTGTATGACTTTCTAGCGTCCCTTTGGAGTAAACGGGGATTAAACCACAGAGCAGTGGTGGTAGGGACTTGTTTCGAGATTGACTGAAAAGTTTCCAGCACTCTAAGAAAAAAGGATGGACGTTCCCCTTCACTAACCTCTACTAAAAAATGAGACTGGCACCTTTTCAAAAGTCACTGGGAGAGTGAAAAACAATCTAGAGTCATTGCCTCCTCTCAAGCTGAAATTTATCTACTGAAAAGGAAAAAGAAAAGCAGCACTCCCTCTGCACAAACAAGACTAGATTTGCCCAAAGTGAAATGGCCTAAAGAAACAATGTCAGCTAATTCTAGCTGAATCTAAGTGTATTTTAGGGAATTATAGCGTACCCAAACTAACTTGTCAGTTTTGTTATATAAAGATGTAATTGTATCTGAGCAATTATCACTGATAAAAACACCAGGAAGGTGTGACTAAGAAAAGGGTTTATGTCTTACAGAGAAGGCATTTAAAAATCAAGGTTTTGTACAGATCAGAGCCTATAGGCCATTATCTTGGCAAAAATAGTGATACATGGCAATGTCTTAAAACATAATTCTTATCAAGACTTTCAAGGTATTTCATTTTTGCACTCTAATGGTGCATGCATGTACTATATTTTTTACTGCATTGGAGTTATGTTAATTACTCTCTTTTGAAGCCATCTTTACTTCTTGAGAAATATTTGCCTGTAATCATAGTCACCTGTAACTTCCATTTGAAAGAATGCACCATTCACCCAGATTTCAGCATCCTCAGAAAACTAGGCTAAGTGGAACAGGAGGCTGAGACAGCTTTCATTGGGTCACACTTGACCATAATGGAGTAGGCAGCAGGGTAACATAGAAAAATAAAATTGGACTGGAAGTCAGGAGACTTGTTTTCTACTTTGTCACCAGCCAGCTTGGGCAAGTTACTTTCTCCTCTTTGTGTTTTAAGCAGGGGGTAAAACTAGTTATTCCACTTACCTTCTCAGGGCTGTTTGAAGGTCAAATGAGACAACAGACCTGCAAATGCTGTGAGATGCATGAAGCAGAGCGTTCAATAGGCTGTCAGAATACCCCGAATATTATACTACACAGATGACTGAATGTAAAGGTCAAAGGAAGAGAAGAGATGGCCACTCAGTGGCCGCATCTGGGTGAAAACAAGAAAAGAGAAGGACATTTGAGGTGGGGCAGTAGGGTGAGGGTGGGGTGAGAGAGAAGGGCTGGTGTTGTGGGAAAGATGATGTTTTAGGTTTCAGGCAAGAATGGGACAACTAAGTAGAAATGTCCTTCAGGCAAGAGGCTGGGGATGAAAAGAAAGGTCTGTACTAGAGTTAAAATAATGAAAATCTCCAGAGAATTTGTGGAGAGGGGAGAAAAGGCAACTTGCCTGAGCCAGTTACTAGGGGTTGGGAGGGTATAGGTGGAGAGGAGGTAGGAGAAAGCAAAGATGAATTGCTTGGAGAGAAAAAATATCAACAAAATGAATGATGGGATGGTAGTGCTCTTTTCTCTGCCAGAGAAAAAATGTTCAGAACTGTTAAGTGATTCAGAGAGGTCCATGAGAATCAGAACCAAGATCTTCAGCTTTGAAGAGAGGGAGGATATTGTTGTTGTTGAAAATAAAGTTGCAGTGGACAAGTAGAGAGGGGTGCCAGAATTCATGTACTTTGAAGTGAAAGCATGGAAGGAGAGAGAGAATGGGCTACAGAGATAAGTTTAGCCATTTAAAAAGGAGAAAATTAGGAAACAGAAACAGCAGAGAGGCAGGAAGGTAGAGAGAAAATGGGTAGAAGAGATAGTGATACTTTGAAGTAGAACATTGGGTATAATTGTACCCAAACTGAGAAGGGATGACACCACGCCATGTGAATACCAAAATCCGGGAAGACTGCACCTCTCATTTACCTTGGGTGAAGCCAGTGAAAGTCAAGTATCCACATGTAGCGAAGAGAATACTGATAAATACAGAAACCAAGGTGGACACATGGATGATACAGGACCACTTAGCCACTGTGGGTTCTTCCAAAGAACCATAAACTAAGAAGCAGTTATGGTGGCAAATAAATGCTGGAGGGGGAAAAAAAGCATTATTAAAGCAAACACTAGCATTCTCTTTACTTTTGAAAATCCAGAGATGTATGCTACTTTGAAATGCTAATGAACTGAAGTTCAAATATACTAATTTACTAGCTATATCACACAATCATCTTTCCAACAGCTTTGGGAATGAGAAATTTCATTCACTTTAGGCTGTGTAGTCTTTTCATGTCACTCTTGATATAAAGCAGGCCTGTTCAATTTTCTCTCCCATTTTCCATTTCCTAATGGCCTTTCTAATCTTACGGGGAAATCTAAATGACACAATATTTTCAGTCCACGACTTCCTTTCCAATCTGGGATATAACGGATTAGCTTTAGACATCCAGCCAATTTGTAATACTTTGTGTGCAAGGTTTTGAAGTCCATAATATTTACTAGATTTTCAAGTGAAGAAACATAATGACTTTAATGAGTTTTTTGCATGAGAAAGAGACTTGTCCAAATTGAAGCAAATTTTAGTGATGAGTGAGAAAAGCTTGAGCCTAATTTTATGTTGGCGCAAACGAGATCATATGCTGCTAATAGGATGTCTAAAACTTAGGACATCTGTTCTCTAGACATGAATATGAAACACAGGACTTTCTCATTATACAGAAGAGTCCATATTGAGAAACGGTCTTTGAAACCACATACTCACCAAACGACATAACACCAATAGCCTGAATGGCACTGGGTTTTGCAAATACCCAGGCATCTTCTGATTTTGGTCTAAAAGAGAAATCAGTTAATTTGATCAATGATTAAACATATAAGCATAAGTATATCAGAGAACAAGAAATGCTGTCACAATACGAATTGAACCTCTTTAAGTCAGAAATTAATAAGGGGCCTCCATTAATTTTATTTAAATGTAAATAAATTTCCCAGGAATGTCAATGTTATCTGTTAACCCCAGTTACATGGGAAGACTCTATTTTACATATTTAAAATACCCATTGACAGCTTAGTTTTGTGACTTCACTGACTCATCAATTTAACATTTGTTATGCACTTTTTATTTGAGATACTCATTGAGGGAGGTAGAAAAATTAATAATGCAGTGTTCCTCCTCAACTAATCAATACTGCTCTTTATTTCCTTCTTTACTCACTCTTCTGGGCTCATTCTACCCAAGGAAATTCGTAGTTGGCACTACAGTTTATTGAAGAAGGTGGACATGAACTAATAAGAATCAATGATGTACTTAGCTAGTTCTGGGAATTATCCTACGTTATCTCAATCTTCAAAATAACACTTAAGTGCTATTATCAACCTTTAATACATTAGGAGAGTTAAGCTCTGGGTGGTGACGTAACTTATCAAGCTTCCACAAACAGTAAATAAAGAAATTGAGATTTGTTTCCTTGGTCTGTCCATCCCAATATGTTTTCCATATTGAACTCTCAGTACCTTCAAATTTTCAGCTTTGGATATACTTCTCTCAAAGAGGTTTTGGAAACATATACATTTAAAATAACTCTAAGAAGCTCATTTCTTAGTGGAATTAAAATATTTGCCAGCCTGCCTATTGGCAGCGATTTGTTTCCCTGATGAATATGCCCTCGAGTAATGACAAGAGCACAGGCTCCAGGTCAGACAGCCCGTGTTAGTCTTGGGTCTTTTTCCACTTATTAGCTATGTGATCTTAGGTAAGTTACTTAACCTTTCTGTGCTTCAGGTTTTTGGGTTTTTTAAAAAGATTTTATTGGGGAATTGGGGAAGGGGAACAGTGTTGGGGAATCGGGGAAGAGGAACAGCCAAGTTGCTGTCCTTTTGTTCTTCAGTCTAGTTGTGGAGGACGTTGCTTCACTGGCCCATGTTGGTATTATCATTGCGCTCTTCCTGGGTGAGGCAGTCGCTTGCAGGTCATTGGCTCATAGTGGCTCACAGCAGCTTATGGCAGCCCATTGCAGCCCCACTGCAGCCTACGTCGTCACTGGTGACTCAGGGCCGCCCAGCTCCAGGTCGAGCTGTTGTTCACCATCTTAGCTATAGGGGGCACAGTGTCATTGGCCCTCATATGGGATTCGAACCTGGGCCCTGCTGCTCAGAGCTGGTGTCCCAAACCAACTCCTAACCAATGCGCCACTTGGCAGTCCCTGTGCTTCAGCTTTGATATCTATAAAATGGGGATGATAATAATAGCACTTAATTAATTGAGTTATTGTATGAGTTAAGCAATGTAAAACTTCTGAAAGAGAGAGCCTAGCACATATTAAGTGGTCAATACATGGTCACTTGTACTATCGGCTTATGTATTAGTATTGTTATTATCCACTGTCATATAACAAAATACAGCAAAAAGTCTAAAAGTATTGCCAGCTTCCCTGAAAAGACTGTAGCAAGACCCAAAGAAAGCATGAAATTGGAAGAAGTGAACAGGAAAGAAAAGTCCTAGAAAGCATGCAGGCACTAGGTGTAAAACCCATCTCTTTTATGTTTATTATTAATTTTCGATGTAAAGTAGACACAAAAAAGTTCCATTTGTTTTGTCAAAGTTAGTGGGATTTATGCATTATATCATGTTTTCCCACATTTGAAGTGAGCAGTGACAGACAAAGAAACTAGCTAGCCGACAAGGGAGGCGCCAGCTGTCACAAGCCTTGCTCCTCTTCCCTAGTTTGAGTGGGGCTGCTGCCACCTGCCGCCTCCACTGCTCTCATTGCAATGAACGTTAACTGCTAGCAGCATCCCTGTCAAATCCCAATGGTAATTGGAAAAGTACATATTTTATCCATGGTCCTTACATTTTTTTTTTGAAAAGGCAGTACTAACAATTGTAGAAACTTGGAGATTTTAAATTTTTTTATCTGTCTTAAATGATCTACTTTCCCTGTTATGGTATTAGCATGTGAATAAAACTCATTTTTCTCTTTGATATAGAGTATAGTGGTGTCCTGCTTTGTTAACACTTATATTAGTAATGAAAAGGTAGAAGTTTAATTTTTATTTGTCTTCTTTTAAGTTTTAAAAAATTTTCCTGGTCTACAGGGTTCCTTGAGTATATTCCTAGCTAAGATGGACTGTGAAACAGTACCTAGAGATAATTTTGGGTTTTCTGTGTTCAACTTAATGATGCTGATTTTATAAGATGGAAAGTATGCAAAAAGATGTCACAGATAGGAAAGTAATGTGTGTTCAAATCTAGGGAAAGAGAAGGAAAGAGACAATGAATACAGCTTTGCAATCTTTTAGAAAATAGTTTGTGATTGAATTTCAGAAACAACCATTTCCACAGGAAAAAAAGAAAAAAAAATCCTTGGTATATTTTGTGAGGCTGCTGAAACCTTGACACCCAAAGCAGATGAGAAAATGAAGTTATAGATTGTTCTGACTTTAGGCTATATAGATGTTGAAATAGAAAATGAAATATTATCAAATGCAATCAAGAGAATGTAATAAGAAAGAAAAAAGCATGACCAAGAAGAATTTTTCCAATAAATGCAAGGGTAGTTCAATTACAGAAGAATCTATTAATGTAATTCATCACAATAACAGGTTAATGGAGAAAAAAGGCTTCTGACCAATTCAAAATATGTAGAAAGCCTATAGTCCACTATTTATTTTGATAAGCATGCAAACCAAAATATTAGTAAAACAAAACTTCCTTAACCTAATATGAATATCTACCAAAACCTATAGCAAATGACATATTTAAAAGTGAAAAGTTAGAAACATAACAATTAAAGGCAGAAGCAAGACAAGGATGTCCTCTATCACTGCTTCCAGAATATATTACAGGAATTATCGGCTAATGTAATAAAATAAGAAATGATACAATATATAATAACTGGAAAGGAATAAATGAATGGTACACAATATAATTGTGTACACAGATCAATGTAATTATGTACACAGAAAATTCAGGGGCATCTACTGACAAGCCATTTGCGTATTCAGCAAGGTTGCTGGATACGAACTCCCTACACAAAAACTCATAGGATTGATATGCACAAATAACAGCCAATAAAAATGGTTTTTAAGTGTCAGTGACAACAAAAACACCTAATGTTTTTGAAGGTATCCATAATCTTAATGGAATGATATCATTTTTTTGAAAAGTACAAAGAACTAGAGAAATATACCATATCCATGCACATGAATGGGAAGACTCAATCTTATGTAGATGTCAATTATCTCCAAATTAATATTTAAATTCAAAGAATAAAATATGACAATGAAGGTGAAAAGAATTTTCTAAAAACCCATAAAAGCAAAACCATAAAGGTAAAGATTAACACACCTAACAAAATCAATTAAAGGTAAATATAAAATGTCTGTATAATAAAACAGTCCACATACCAAGTTAAAAATGAAGATAAGAGAAAAACTGAGCGATGAGATTTGTCTTGCATATAACCTAGAAAAGGTTATTATCCAGTATACTAAATACTCCTGAAAATCGATAAGAAAAAGGTATTCCAAGAGCAATGGACAGCTGTCAATTTATGCAAAATGAAATAAGAATAGCTAATAAATATGCTACAAATTCTTCGCCCTTCTTAATAATTAGAGGAATTGAAATGAACCCCATAAAAAAGAGCATTTTATATATCTAATTCAACAATAGCAATGTTGATAAATTGCTGGGAAAAGACAACTTGCAATTATTATAGAAGGAACTGTGCATTGTAAAACACTTTTGGAGAAGAATTTGGCAATATCTAGTAAAGCTGAGCTTAATCAAAGTTTGTAAGCAAACACTTATATTTTTAGGTTTAATAAAAATTTAAATATAAATTTTTATATTTATACCCTAGGCTAGGGAAGTGCACATGTGCAGCAAGAGATATGGATAACAATGCTCACTGCTGCATTGTTTATATTAGCCAAACTTTGGAAATAACCTCAATGTCCAGAAATAGAATAGATAAATAAGTTCATGTGTAAAATGTGACATAATCATAAATTGGTGTGCTATAGATCAATTGAAAAGAATCACCCAGTGCTAACTGTATCAAAGTAGAAATATACGGCTTGCAATATTGAGGGAAAATAGTGATTATGTATATTTTTACCACAGTGATTATGCACATTTTACAAACATACTATTCAATACTATATATTGTTATCAATACATAAATGCATGGTGTAAATATAAAAGCATGAACAGGAATGATTCAAACCAACTTAAACATAATAGTGACCTTTAGGGAAAGAGAAATGAATCGAATTTTAAATACGATACTCTATTGTTCATAAGAATTGGAAGCAAGTATAGAAAATCATTTCAAAAAAATCTAGGCCAATTTCCTGCTTCCTGAACTTTATGTATACAATATTGTCTACATAAAACCCCTCTGGGTCTGAACTTAATTTTTAACCTTAATCTTCCGTAAATATTCTATAACTGAAACTACATTCTTCCTGCTCTCCAATCACTTATACAAGTCATTCAATTTTCAGCAATTATTTGGTGAGCGCTAGCTATGTGACAATTACTGTTATAATCACTGGGGAAACTGCAGGAAAAATGACGAAAGAGGTCAACTATCTCGGTTTATGTTCTATATTATATCCAAACAGTAGTTTCTGTGATGATGAAAATCTGTATCTGTGCTGTCAAATGTGGTTACCACTAGACACATGTGGCTTTTGAGCATTTGAAACTATGACTAGTGCAACTGAGGAATTAATTGTAAATTTTATTAAATTTTAATTTAAATTTAAGGAGCCAAACATGGCTAGTTGTTTCTATGCTGTATAACACAAATCTAGAAGGAGCCATG